CACTATATAACTTCACTTTAGAAAAAGACCTCCCCATTTGACTATTGCTAAAACCAGTTCTAAGCAATAAAAACAATTGTCTAAAAATTACTCGGATAAGCCCTCTATTACTAATCTCAGAACATAGATACTATATAAAAAGAAATGTATTGCAAAAAGCTATAATCGCAGTTCAAATAACGCATAAGTGTATGTCCACGGCATTTTTCTTTCAGCTCATATGATGAACTTGTATGATCAATCAGTAAATAATACCAGGTTTTTGAACACTTTTGAAAACAATAAATAACAACTACAAAATAATTTTATATGTATTATACACACAAAATAACAATAACGTCCAGCAGTAATTTTGTGATACATTTCTTGTCATACATACTGCCATTCTAGTAACTCATAAAATCTTTAACTAGAAAACTCATAAAAACAGAATCACCTTATGAGCATTTTAAATAAAACCCTGTATAGCATGGCAAAGAAACGGTATATGGAGAATTTGAGGATCCAAATTCAAATTTGACATAGCGTGGCAAGGCAACGTCGCAAGGATTCTGTTGTCTTACTAGCCGCTTCTGTCGTAAACGGCAACGTGGGACTGTACTTTGTATAGCTCCTCCTCTCTCCTTTAGGGACGACATTAATGTCAAAATTGTTGTCCATTGGTGATTGGACGCACAGAACATCTCCCCTGTTCTGTGATTGGACGAGGCCACCGTAAGACGTCTTACGGTGGCTCGGATTGGATATGCAAAACAGCTGTTTTATTGAGGTTAGCGCCAATATAAAATAATAACCCAAGCTTCAAACAAAGAGATGAAACCCTTTTAAATGAAAATTCTTGCTCTCCTCTATTTGCAATTAGCTTGTGTAGATTCACTCAACCCTGTTTAGAGCGATGCGTTTCAGGTAATAATACGTTTTCAGCGTCGGCTCTATTTTGAGGTTAAGCTTTGCTGGGTTTCGGGGCCTTTTCAAGTGTGTAATCCGACTTTTGTCGCTCTAGGATGAGAATAGGAGCTTTCCTGCAGCTGCTTCTAGTAGGTCTGGTGGTTGTGGAGAAATGCACGGCCAAACAGAAGTCGAAATCGGTGACTACACTGCTGGAAGCAAAATGGTCTCGCACTCCATTGGTTTTAGAGGTTTCCGAGTTCCTAGCTGACGAAAATCCCGATCTCTACTGGAGTTTCATAGACTCGATATCGCTGCAAAGTCCTGCGCTAAATCAAATAGGTAATAGCTGCCTTTAGACTAGTTGTGTGTCTTCAATGTTCCCCGTTACTGACTGGCAGAGAATGAAAGAAAAAGGTACAACGTCCTACTGGAGCATGCTGCCAGACTGTTGTCGCCTTCCCAACTGGCCGTGTTAAAGCTGAGCTTGTCTCTGCACATTTACTCGCCCAAGGTGCAGATGTTTCAGCAAATTTCCACTGAACTTAGCTTGCCTAAGTGCCAGTGTGTAGCTGACGTGGGCGGCCAATTCAGCTGTGACTTAAAAGAGATAGAGAAGCTAATTGAGCAGGTCAGTAAAGCCCTCGGGTTGGCAGGCAAAATGTTTAAATGCTGCTGATTGCAGCCGAGCAACGTCGTTTCGAATGCCGAGCTTTTCAACGTGGATACTCATTATCCAGGATCAGAAAATCGCTCCTTAGTGGCTGTTCTCTATGGCGAGCTGGGAACGCAATGTTTCAGCCATTTCCACGCTCTGCTCAAGACCCAGGCCGTCAAAGGGGGCATAGACTACGTTATTAGGCATTACCACCAAGTATAAGATTCAACTCTTTCGTTTATTGGGTTTAAAACCAACCTCTCTGACCAATTAGGGGAAATCTGAGCCAAGGCTGCGCCTCTCAGGCTATGGGGTCGAGCTGCAAATGAAATCGACGGAGTACAAATCGCAAGATGACAGCGAAGTCCAAGACAGTGAAGGCTCAGCCGAAGCTTCGCAGGAAGATGAAGAACTGGAAATCGATGGCTTCGACTTTGCGAAACTAAAGTAAAACACTCTCACCAGCATAATAACGTTGTACTTTGAACGAACCATTGTTTTAGGCAACTGTTTCCGGATCTCAGGAACAATCTGGACAAGTTCAAGCAGCATCTAGAAGACTCGTCAAATGAACTGGCTGCATTGAAAGTGTGGGAGTTTCAAGAACTGAGCCTCCAGGCAGCTGAGCGAATTATGAACGCCCCTAAGGATGAGGCCCTCAAAGTGTTTACTAACATTGCACAGAATTTTCCTATGCAAGTGAGCAGCTAGTTAATGCGCCTTTTTATTACAGCGGTGAATAAATTTCGGTTCTTGGCAGGCAAAAGCTCTAGTAAAAACTGTCGTCAACCCTGACCTGAAAATGGAGATGAAAATCAATGCCGATATCTTCGGCTCGACCCTCAATCTCCAGCCCTCCGATACCGCCCTGTTTATCAACGGCATGTTCTACGATATCGATGTGATCGACATTTACTCAATCTTAGACATTTTGAGGCAGGAACTGAAGACCATGGAAGGTAGTGGCAGCTGCATCTGATGTTTCAGAGCGTTGATTATTTATCGGCCTAGGATTGCATGCTTTGGGTCTGAGCAATGGGAAGCTGCGTGCTGTTCTTCACTTGGATTTCAGCGAAAGTAGCGGCTCGCCGGAGTTTGCCATCGATATCCGCGATTCTGCTATCAACTGGCTCAATGACATCGAGCAGGACACGAAGTTCCGCTACTGGGCAACCAGCCTGATGGACCTGCTGCGCCCAACTTTCCCTGGCATGCTCAGACAGATTCGAAAAAACTTGTACAATCTGGTTGGCCGAGTCTCGCCCACAATGTTGTCGATGTTTTATTTGAGGTTTTTCCATCCCAGGTGCTGATAATCGACCCAACCGACACCAGCCTACGGCCGCTGCTAAAAATCGTCGAATCCTTCGTTGTGCATGCGACGCCCATTCGAACTGGACTGGTATTCAGAGTGAATTCTTCCAAGTCTGTGTCAGGACTTGATGATGCCGGCGTTGCAATGCTGTGCGCCTTCAATTACGTGCAACAATCCAAAGGCCCCATAGCGGCTTTCAGCTTCTTGCGAAGCATGCTCGGCTCGACAGAACGACCACAGGTGGGTTGACGAACATCCTTTTTCATTTTTTTCGGACATTTTTTCTGCTCGCAGGTCTCAGTGGAGGACGTTAAGAGAGAGCTGAGCGCTCAGTTCAGCGAAGACCCCGCCGATATTTTGGACGAGGATTCCGATTACATTTTCGGCAGGCAGTTGTCCAGCGATTTCATCGACAGGACCGGCTTAAACCTATTTCCGCAGGCTCTACTGAACGGGATTCCGCTGCCGCAAGCAAAGGTCTGTCGCTAGTTTACTCGGAATTTCTCCTTTAACATAACGCTAATCCTAATGGGTTTCAGTCATTTATTGTCTGTATTTATCAATTAAAATACGTTTCGGTGTATTTTTCCACCATCATCAGTTTTTCTAAAATAACAGATAGTTAAAAAATTTCATTAATTTAAAAAACAATCACAGTTCGTCAACAGCCTCATCAAATCACACATTAAAATACACCACAATTGCAACACTTTAAAACATTCTAAAATTAATTAGGCCTAACAGGTGATTAGTCAGGACAATCAGATTTGGGAAGAGACTAGAATTCTTCGTTCAGATACTTAAATATTTTCACTTACATGTGTAGCGTTGTTGCTGCTTTAAGCCTTGGCATACATTTGGAGTATTAATTTTGTTGTCGTTATTATTAATTGAGATGTATTTGAATGTGTGATATGATGAGGCTGTTGACGAACTGTGATTGTTTTTTAAATTAATGAAATTTTTTTTAACTATCTGATATTTAAAAAAAACTGATGATGGTGGAAAAATACACCGAAACGTATTTTAATTGATAAATAGAGACAATAAATGACTGAAACCCAGGAATTAATTTTGATTTGGAATTGAAACACAGTCAGGAAAGTATATACATAACTCCAATTTAAGATTACCGCTGAGGACTTTGAAGAGGTGGTGCTTCAAGAAGTGATGTCCCAAACCGTTAATTTCCAAAAAGCTGTATACAAAGGTAAACTGACCGATAGCATGGAAGTTATTGATTACCTCATGGACCAGCCCAACGTGATGCCCCGGCTAAATGACCGGGTTTTAAACCGGGAGCGATCCTTCTACTTGGACATGTCGGGTAAAGCTACCAGCACCCACAAACTAGAGGTTTTTGTCTAATATTTTTTTGAAACCCCCATGTTCACCTTGCTCGTCTTTAGGAACTGCTCCAGTTGAGCCGCCAAGACATGACCGCTACCGCAATCGACAACTTGCGGTACTTCACAGTACCCAAAAGGGGCAACCAATACCGTTCGTTAACTTACTGGGTTGTGGGGGATTTGGATTGTCCGAAAGGACGGAAACTGCTGCTGGACGCCTTAGAGCACTTGGTGAGCTCCGGATTGAAACACTCAATGAGCCGCCAGGAACTTGAGGTTTTGTTGTAGAAATCCGAAAGCGACATCAGAGTCAGCTTCCTGCCGAACGTGAATGGCAACAAGGCAAACATCTTCAACAAAGTGGTGTTGGCGGCTCTGGAGACGTTGTCTTCTGGAGCGGCGCTTTCCTTAGTTTTGTCGCTTCTGCGGTCCGAGGACACGCCGGAACAGCTACAAAGCGGACACAAATTGAACATTCCGTCGGAGGTTTGGTCGAAAGTGTCCGCTCAGGAGCTGAATTTGAAGATGTTGCGCGTCTACTCGCAGAGAGTGCTCGATTTGAAAGAGGAGCAAAGAGCCATCGTGGCTAATGGACGCGTCTTAGGGCCTCTGGATGATGGCGAACTGTTCACGAACGAGGACTTTTCGCTTTTGGAGCGATTTACTAGTGCAAGCTATTTGGATAAAATCAGCAAGGCCTTTGAAGGCACATTAGACGAGGACGATGACGATAAACGTGAGTCGATTCACCCAATTCCACAAAAAACTTCTGTCTTCGCTTTTAGACTCTCTGAGGAGAAATTTGCAAAAAATCGCCACTCAAAGTTGAAGCCAGATGCGAACCATTCCAATGCTTTTGGATCCTTTTGTCTTGATAGACGTGACTTTAACTCAGATTTTGTTTCAGCGATTACCAGCGACACCATTCTGAAACTGGAGCCTCTACTGCTGTCGAAAACTGCCAGCAAATCGCGCTTTGACATCACCTACGGCTCCGATGAATATTCGGCTGTGAAAATTCCAGCCCGCCGTCCAGACTTAGTCGCCTTTGATCTGGTCGCGGTCGTCGACCCCGTCTCAAGAGGCGCTCAGAAACTTGGGCCCATTTTGCAGGTGTTGCATGAGTTGCTCAACTGTAACATCAAACTGTTCTTGAATAGTGTGGAAAAGAACAGCGATATGCCGGTTAAAAGGTATTTTGAGCGAGTTTTATTCAGGGGTGGGTAGTTGCCAATTACCGCCAATATTGCCGGTTTCAGCTTCTACCGCTTCGTTCTGGAGCCGGAAATTCAATTTTCTGAGGACGGAAAGCAACTTCCGGGACCCATCGCCCGATTCAACAACATGCCAACCTCCCCTCTGTTGACTCAAAACTACCACGTGCCGGAAAACTGGCTGGTCGAAGTGGTTCGCTCGGTCTACGATCTGGATAACATCCGTTTGGAGAATGTGGAAAGCAACGTGCACAGGTCAGTTAGGACCCAGCAATTTGCGAAGCAACTAGCATTGCTATAGATAAGTTCTATATTGTTGAGGCGGATTCATTTTTTTACAAATTTCTTGTTGGCTATTTCGCCTCAACAATTTGTGTCTTTAAAAAAGACAGAATTTCCTCACGTCTTATTACAGATTGATAAATAGTGCTCCTATTTCGCAATCAGAACGAATTATTTATCAAAAAGCAATCAAGAACTATCACCTAGAGGGTATCATTATTAGTAGCATTCCAAATCAAAATTAATTCCTGGGTTTCAGTCATTTATTGTCTCTATTTATCAGTTAAAATACGTTGGACACTCCAAATGTATGCCAAGGCTTAAGGCAGCAACAACGCTACACATAAAAACTGATGATGGTGGAAAAATACACCGAAACGTATTTTAACTGATAAATAGAGACAATAAATGACTGAAACCCAGGAATTAATTTTGATTTACAATTGAAACAAAGTCAGGAAAGTATATACAAATTAGTAGCCTTGTTATGTTGCAGCGAGTACGAGCTGGAGTATTTGCTGCTGGAGGGGCACTGCTTCGAGCAGAGCTCTGGAAGCCCCCCCAGAGGGCTGCAAATCACCTTGGGGACTGTGCGCGAGCCCGTGATTGTCGACACCATCGTAATGGCCAATTTGGGCTATTTCCAGTTGAAAGCCAACCCTGGCAGCTGGCTGCTTAAGCTGCGCCAGGGCCGGAGTGCTGATATTTACGATATCGTCAGGTAAGGGTGGCTGGGGGGTTTAACTTCATGAAGCCACCAACGAGGGTTTTTTTAGTCATGATGGGCATGACATGCCCCCAAACTCCACAGACATCAAGGTGTTGATTAGCCAGCTGCGCTCCAATATCGTCAAGCTAAGAGTGCAGAAAAAGCCCGATAAATTCCACATGGATTTGCTGTCTGATGACGATGAACATGGAGGAATTTGGAATTCCATCACCAGGTGAGATTTAATAATTTAAAGAAATTAAACAAGACTGGCAATTCAGTCCCAGGCACTAAATGGATGTAGGTAAAAGATAATGGAAGTTCCACTTACTTTGATTCATACTTGAAAAGTCAATATATCAATCGAAAGGGTTTTCAGTTCATTCGCTTCGAAAGAAGAGGAAAGTGAGGAAAAATTGAACATCTTCTCCGTGGCATCGGGACACTTGTACGAGCGATTCCTCAAAATCATGATGCTCTCGGTGCTCAAACAGACCAAAACGCCTGTCAAGTTTTGGTTCCTCAAGAACTATTTGTCGCCTCAGATTAAGGTAGAACTGCTGGCTCTTAATCTGCTGTTTTCGTCCGTCTGAATGGGAGTTTTTCCAGGACTTTTTGCCCTACATGGCCAAAGAATACGGGTTCGAGTACGAGCTGGTTCAGTACAAATGGCCCAGATGGCTGACGCCCCAAACTGAAAAACAGCGCATCATTTGGGGCTACAAAATTCTTTTCCTAGACGTTCTCTTTCCGCTGGATGTGAAGAAAATTATCTTTGTCGACGCCGACCAAGTGAGTTTCGTTTTTCAAGTTCCGATATATATAGACGCGTCTTAACATTTAGGTCGTCAGAACCGACCTGAAGGAGCTTCGAGACTTTGATTTGAATGGAGCCCCGTATGGATACACCCCTTTTTGCGACTCCCGAAGGGAAATGGATGGGTTCCGGTTCTGGAAACAGGGATACTGGCGCAACCATCTACAAGGTAGTTTTTTTGTGGCAGAAAAATGCGAACCGGCTTGGTTACTCGCGGTTTTAGGAAGGAAATACCATATTTCGGCTCTGTACGTGGTGGATTTGAAGAAATTCAGAAGAATAGCAGCTGGCGACCGACTTCGTGGCCAATACCAGGCCCTCAGCCAGGACCCCAACAGTTTATCCAATCTGGATCAAGACCTGCCCAATAACATGATCCATCAGGTGGCTATCAAATCACTTCCAGCCGAATGGTTGTGGTGTGAGACTTGGTGCGACGATGCGTCCAAAGCCAAAGCGAAAACCATCGATTTGGTAGGTTTAGCTGTATATTTGGTCGATTATTGGCTAACGCGTACTTTTGTCGTTTTCCAGTGCAACAATCCTCTAACCAAAGAAGCCAAGTTGTCGGCTGCCATGCGAATCCTGCCGGAATGGAAAGGTTACGACGACGAAGTCCGGGAGCTGCAGAAGAAAATCGACTCGGGAGTGTTGGATGAAGATCCAGCGGCGGACAGTGGAAGCGCAGGTCGCGGTGAGTAGTTCAAGCCAATTAGAGCCTTCCTTCAATTAATTCACTCCGTAGTTCCAGATACGACTGATAGACACACAGAGCTCTAGGGCTGGTCGAGGTTGGGGTAATGTAAATTTCTTATGTACAGTCCTTGCAAGCTAGAGTAAGTGCTGTAAACTGTCGATAAGTTGTAAGATTCACATTTTGAAACTTAAGCGATATTTTTTGAAAAAATACATCAATTCATTACGTAACTGGCGTTTGTAAGCGCGGTCATCAGCTACTGCCTGTTTAAGGTAAATAGTGAAAAACGACTGCAGGATTTAGCGAACTCTTTAATGGAAGTGAACTTTGGATCGCCCAGTTTTAATTCAACATTCTATTTTACAAGGCGTTCGACTCTACGTTGATTGAAATGCCACGAACCATTACGATACAGGGTGTTCTGAGCTGTAACTCTGCTTTTTGTTACATGAGTCTAGCATGTAGAATCACCGCATTTTGCGAACACCCTGAATAATATTGTACGTAAGAGCCTTGAAGTTTATGGTATTATTATAGTCTATAAACACTCGTACACTTGGCTCATTGTTCGGCAGATTTTGCACTTTACGTAGCAGCAGTTGTAAAATTTGCATTGACAACGTTCGATTTTCTCCTCAACCACTGTGCGATAGCCACGACCGCAGCATAGTATTCTGCAACTGTCCAGGCTGTTGGACGAGACGTTACAGTGCCTGAAATGAATGAAATGAATGCATTTGATCAGTGATTAAATTCCTGTATAGACGAAATGGGCCCTTGGCCGCTGGGCGCTCGATTATCTATAATTAACGGCCGTAAATCTCGAGAGAACTGACCACTTTTTCCACCATCCTGCCCAAAATTTAACGGGTTTCTGTTCGTTGCGTAATCATTACCTGCAGGGTTGGCTTGATTTTTATCAAGTGATTTCAATCATGATTTAAATCACCTGACTTTTTTGGAAAAAATCACGATTTAAATCAAAGTTCATTTTTTCAAGAAACTTTATATTTCCACGCAAAAAATTTAAAACAGAACACAAATAATTCTAAGAAATGAAAATGAAAATAGAAAACGGTACATGTGAACTTAAAAATTAAACGGTATTAAACTCAATAATACTAAAACGGAAATCACTTCTCTTTCTCTTCATTTTCGTTATAAAGTCTGAAGAGGAACACTAATTTCCCTCCTTTTTCGATTCCCAATCTGTTCCTGGTATCCGAATGTGCTGAACATCCTTTCGACAAACGCAGAAGATGCAGTTGCACAAAGAAACTGTTTTATAGGGGGCAAGTGTTTTGCAATTTCCGGTTTATTTCTCTGTGATAGCCACCACTGAAGTCCGTTCATATTTTTCAGCTCCTCATCAGAAAACATATTTTTTTTGAAAGGACTGCAGCGAGCGTTGAATTTAATAACTAGTGGCAAAAATCCCGAGTTTACATGAAGCTCACTGATAGTCTCCAAAGCCAGATTCTTCTCTTCAGAAGTTAAAGCGTAGTTTTGTTTCTCCGGGCTTTACATGTAAGCAATAAAGTGATAAGGTGTAAGAGCTTACTTATAGCGATGTTGAAACTTCTGTAGTTTCTCTAAAGATAAATTT